AGGCCAGGCGGCTGTGGATGCAGGAGCAAGTTTAGCCGGGAAAAAGTGAGCGGCAGTAGGCCGGCCCTGCCTCAGTTTACCCTCTGTAGCCCAGGCGTGAGCCCTACGTGTCCTGGCTCCCGTGAGGAGGACCCCGGGGAGCAGGCACGGAGCGGCTGGCCCAGGCAGAGCCCCCCAGCCGCCCCCGCGCCTGCGGCCTTGCCGGCTCGTTCTCATCAGGGCCAGGGGAAGCGGAGGGCGAGGGAGACGGCCGGGGAGACTGCCGGGGAGAGACAAAGCGCCCCGCGGCCGCCCCTCCCTGAGGCCAGCGCTGAATTCCTCAGCAGGAACGTCAGTGTCAGCCGCTGCAGCCGCTCCACGCTCCCACCCCCAGGGAGGGTCCAGGGAACCGCGGGGGTGCGGCCGGGGCAGGCCTGGGGCCAGGAGGCCGCTGAGCAACCAGCTTGGCTTGGTGGAGGCGCCCGGGGGCGCAGGTGCTCGCGCTGGGCCTGGTGTGCCCGGGTGCGGGTCCTCCTCCCCGCTCGGGGCCGCGGGACACGGGGCTCCCGGCTCTCATCGGCCCTGGGCTGGCCTGGCCACGGGAGCCCTGGCGGGGGGGGGGGCCCAGCCCCGGGCAGGCCCCTCGGGGAGGGTCTCGGAGGCCCCGCCGGCGCCCCAGCAGCGGCGCTGGTGAACGGCGGAGGAAGCGGCCCTGGCCGTGAGGATGGGTGGCAGGGCGCCCCACGCCAGCACCGGAGCCGGCCAGCTGGCCTCGAAGGCTGAGGCTGGGCGCAGGCTGCCTGGCAGGGGCCTTGCGGTGCGGCCGAGGAGCCGGAGCCGCGCGGGGTGGCCACGGACCAAGACCCCGGGGGCCCCGCCGGGCCAGGAGCTGCCGAGGCACCACGGGTTTCCCATCATCTTCTCAGAAAACAGGGGGGCGGCGGTGCTGCCGAGAGGGGGCGGCTTCCGGCGGCGGGTGGAGACCCACGGGGTGGCTCCCGCCCCCCCGCCCCGGGAGGAGCGCTTGCGGTGCTGGGCCTGGGGGGCCCGGGGAGGATCCCCACTCCCCTCCCAGCCTGGGCTGGCTGCCCCTTTGGGCCCCGTGACCCTGGAGCCCAGGGTGCCCCCGGCTCTCACCTGGAGCAGCTGAGAGACCAACACTTCCCGGAGACCCGACTCCCGCCGGGGACGGGCCTTCCCTGCCCTCGGCCTCCGGGCCTCAGGGCCAGGCTCAGCGTGGCTGGACCGGGGAACCCCGGGGGCCAGAGTTGCTGCCGCTTTCTGCTGAGCCGGGGACCGGCCGGCAGCCCTCCAGGTCCTGCTCGCTCTCCAGACCTGGCCCGACACCCCGTTTTGTCCCGGGGCTCCGAGCCCCCAGCCCCGCTGCCTACACTGCCCGCTGTGCAGGCACCACCGTGCAGGCACCCAGGGAAGATGCTAGCCGGGTAGGACGGTCAAGAGCCAGGGAAGCAAGGAGCCCCTCGCCTACCCCTCTTCCCATCCGCAGCTGCTTACGCATCTGGGCTGATGCCAACCCGGAGTCTCCCCCGCCCCCCATGTGAGGGGGGGGCCCAGGGGGAGATGAGGCCGCGGCCCGTCCCTGCATGGCCCAGGCGGCAGGTGAGAGGAGGCCGCGGCCGTGTCCCAGAGGCGGTGGCAGGTGCTGGGTCTCAGAGGCACCCGCTTTAACCCAGATCACGCCCTGAGCCCGGCAGCCGCCCTCCTGTCTGGGAGCACCGGCAGCTCCAGGAGGGCCAGAGCCCGTCACCGGCCACCCGCAGCTGCCCACACAGCTGCCCCACGGCTTCCAGGTGAAGGCCTCTCTTGCAGTGGGCCACGCCCTGGGTGCCGGACTCTGGCTGTCGCTGGGGAGGGACACGCGGGGGCCCCCAGGCACAGGCCGGCCCCCCACTGCAGCCCACGGGAACCGGGCCTATCGGCGCCCGCGGGCCGGCTGAGCCCAGAGCAGGCCCAGCAGCCAAGAAAACGGGAGGAGATAGGGTGAACCCTTAAGCAGAACCAGATGGGCGCTGGGAGATAAGACAGATTTCTGGAAGGTTCCTATGAGTTCCTGGGGGCTGGGGTAATGGTCAGTGAGAACGAGTCGGGAGAACGTTCACACGACTTCCCGCGTCGAAAAGACGCCGCGGCTGGGAATTAAACAAAGTGCACGGGCAGGCGGGCAAGACGGCGCCCCGAGAGCCACGGCCGGCCAGCCCGGGGCCCGGCAGGCCCCCGACTTGTGCTCCCAGGGCCCGCGGCTGGGCTTAAGAGGGATGCACGCGGATGATCTGCCTCTTCAGCGTCCAGATCTTCGGGTCACCGCGCCCCTGTGTGTACAGCTGTGCGGTCACTGGGGTGGGCAGCCCTGGCGGTCCGGGCAGACCCCCAGCGGCCCCGTCGCGCACAGGCCAGGGGGGCAGGACGCGTGCCCCTCCCTCCGGGTCCTGCCCAGCAAGCAGGGGGCACCACAGTCCCAGGCCTCGTCCAGACACAGGGTGGCCTGGGTGCCCCACCGTCCAGCATCACGAGTCTGTGCCCTCCCCCAGCCGCAGTCTCGCTCCGGCCGGCCTTGGCCCGTCTGGCCGCCAGCGTGAATGCGGAGGGGAGTGCCCGGCGGGAGGGCCGCGGAGTGGAAGGAATTTCCAGCAGACTTGCTGTGTCAAGACAAACGTCCCCCGCCTGCGCCGAGTTCTCTGTCTCAGGGGGGGCCCGGGCAGTGGGGATGCCCCGGGAGCGGGACGCTCACTCTCGGGATGCAGGTGGGCCCTCGGCCTTCAGAGGGCTACAGCCCCGAGACCCGGGCCAAAGCTCCAGAGCGTGTCTGTCTCGATTAGCAAGAGCCGCCAGCGTTTCCACGGCCAGGCTTCCTGACGGCTTCCTGCTGCGCGAAGTCAAACACAGCAGCCAAATCCAGGTCCAGCGCCTGGGGCCTGGCCCAGCCTCCTCCCACCCGCTCCCAACACAGCCTCCCTCGTTGGCCCGTGGAGCTGGCCCGGCCGGGCTCCCCCCAGCAAGGGGCTGGCGTGATGGGGCAGCAGTGCCAGGAACAGCCCGGCGTGTCCCCCGAGGGGCCGCCCCTCACAGCCGGGCAGCAGTGGCGGCAGGACTGGCGAACTGGAAGCCCTGCCCTCACACCACCCCTGCAGGGGCCACGCACGCCCCGCGGCCCTGGTGCTCCGTGGGGCCCCAGGCCCACCACAGGCCCTCCGTCCCTGGCGGCACCCTGTCCCTGGACGGCTATCACAGGAGGCAGCAGGGCGGCCTTGGGGCCAGGGGCAGCCTCCAGCCTCTGACCCTCAGGCTCCTGCCGGGATGGGCCGGCCCCCCTCGGGGCCCAGACTGAGAGCAGTGGGGCGGGAGGGGTGCCAGGGCATGGGGAGGGAGGGGACAGGCGCGGGCGTGAGGACAGCTGTCTCGGGACCCCGGCCGGCCAGCCTGGGGGGGCAGCGGAAGGCTCCTGGGCCGTCATGGGCAGAGGTGGGGGACGAGGCGCTCAGGTGCCCCAAGTGTGGGAGGGGAGGCGCAGGGCGGAGAGTCCGGGGGGATAAATGCCGAAATGGAAAGAAAACCGCAAACAAACGTGCAGCCACTGCTCGCCGGGGTGACAGCCACAGGCCAGGTCCGGGACAGCGGGCAGGCGGGCAGGGGCCGGCCCCCGCGGGAAAGAAGCCACACTGGCCAGCCACGCCCAGGCCTGAAACCCAACCAATCACCGTGTGACAACACACTGCCCACCAACCAGAACCGCACGGATGGAAATCCTCATTTGCATACGCCCTGGCCACGCCCCGGGGCCTATATAAGCGGTTCTGGCGCTGGCGAGTGGCTGAAGCCGCGGGCGGTGAAGCCATTTCGGGGCATTGGGTGGACGGGGGTCAGGTGGACGCGCAACGAGTGCCGGCACACGGAGGGGGGGGGCGGGGGGGGCAGCCACGAACCACAGCCAGCCAGCAGAAAGCCAACACGGGCAGCAGCACACAGGGGCAGGACGACGCCAGGGCCACGGCAGCTGTGTTTATCGAAGCGGGTGAGCACCAGGGACACTGCCATCTGCCGCGTGGGCAGGCCAACCAGGCACCGCCGCACTGTTGCCGAGCTGGAGCCACGGCTGCCCTTGGGAAGTGGCCGCAGGGTGGCGGCGCGTGTACCCGGGAAGCCACTGCCCGCAGGGGCCCTTCACAGAGGCTTCCTTGGTGACAGCAGAACGCTGGAAACTCCCGCCCCGTGGACAGAGGGGGACAGCCACCGCCCCGAGGGACGGGACATGGCCCGCGAACCTCGGCTGTCACGGAGTGTGGCCATAGCCTGGATGGCTGCGCTTGGCGCGGTCCACCTGCTGGTGCCCGAGGCGTTGGGAGGCGGTGACTGTGCCAGTGCAGTCATGGGGGGGCCCCCTACCTGGCAACAAAAACACGGGGCTCCAGCCACAGCCACGCCCCAGAGAACACCCCATGGAGCCAACCAAGCGTCAGGCTCTGGGTGACTCTTCATAAAATTCAAATACAAGGAAGCCAAAATTGAGGGTTCGGGACACAACACATGTGGTAGAGGCACAAGGAAAAGCAAGGGGATGAGAGAGGCGTGGGGGCCACAGCCCTGTGGGGGGCAGCCGTGGGCAGGGCTCCCGCAGGCGGCGGTGGAGGGTCTGGTCCGGGGTGGTCCCGCAGGGTGGGCAGCCTGAAGTCAGGCCATGCATTCCCTGCCCCGCGGTGAGGGCGAGAACATACAGGCACCTCCCAGCGCCCCACACTGGACTCAGGGCTCCCTCTCGTCCTGTGGACAGAGCTGCCGGCCCTCGGCCCTTCCCGCCCTAGCCCGTCGGAGCAGCACTGCGTGCCTGGCCCACATGTGGTGCCCACGATGCCCACTTCCGTGAGCTCAGGACCAGCCACGCACCCACACGGCGCAGGACCCGGCCCGGCCACCCGCCGCCGGCGCCACAGCCAGCACTGGGAACCCGACGACCGCCAGGCCGGCAGGTCCAGCTCCCAGACAAGCGGAGCCTCCCGCGTCCCTACCTCGCGATCCCCGCTCTCAGGCTGGCAAATCCGCTCCGAGGGGCATGACGGTCGCCGGGTCCAGCTCGTTTGGCTTCTCTGCTCCTGTCGGCTCTGCAGAAGACACGGGGTTCAGACAGACGTCAGAGCAGCGGCACGCGAGCCAGGAAGGCCCTCATGTGTGCGTGGGGGGCCCCGTGCCAGCCCCCCAAACGCCCCCCGGACAGCCAGGGCCAGCCGCTGTGGGACTTCACTGGGGACATCAGGGGTGTGGCTTCCTTCGGGGGCAAGGGCCCGAGTGACCCTGCCGGGCAAGCAGGCACCACCTCCACGCCTCTGCCCGCCGCCTGCCCGGCGAGGCTGAGCCTCCCACAGCGTCCCGGCCCCGCCCCTGCCAAAGCCCTATGGCCGCTGTCTGGCCACCCGGCCGCGCGCGCTGGCCCTCATCCCCTCAGCACAGCTGTCCAGGGTCGGCTGCGGGGCGGGGCCCTCCCCGTAGAGGGGGTGTGCTCCCCGCCTGGCCCAGGCCACACCCATCGGCGGTGCCCACTTGCCTTCCCAGCAGGTGCACGGCGCTGCGTGGGCCAGTGTGGCTGGACATACACCCTCAGTTCTTTTGGGGTACATGCAGAGGTGGGGCTACTGCATCCCAGGGCATTCTGGCCCGTGTCCTGGAGCCCCCGTTGTGCCCCTGTGCTGCCCCTTCGCACCCACCTGCCCGCAGGCTCCGCTCCACATCCCCAGCAGGGTGTTTGTGGCCACTGTGAGGTGTGGAGCCGCTTCCTCCCCGTGGGCGCCCCAGGTCCTTCCTGCATAGAGTCCACCCAGCCCTGGGCTGCGGGAAGGTCCCGCCAGGGGAGCAGCTGCACAGCAGCACCCTCCCTGTCCGAGGCCTGCACCCCAAATAGATAGGTGTCCCCAGCCTTTGCCTCAGCTCCACCTTCCGCAGCACCTGGCCCAAGGGTGCTGGGTGAGGACTGATGGGTGGACGCCCAGGGAGAGGGAGGGCCGAGGGCGGGCGGCTGTCTGGGGGCCCGTCTCCTCAGTCCTCCTGCCCACGAGCACCCCTCACACAGGTTCACCTCGACTTGGGCAGCTGAACACCTCAGAGCCAGGGTGCGGGCAGCCCCAGGGGCGCCCTGGAGGGACGGGCAGCCCAGCCACGCGGCGGGGCCCCTCCCCCTCCCCCAAGGGCCCGGCCATGTCCTCCAAGGCAGGAGGGGCAGTGGCAGTGCCGGGCGTCTGGGGGTCCCTTGGGCAGGAGGCGCGTGGCAGAGCAGGAGCGGGTGATGGGAGACGGCGGAGGCGGGCCAGGGAGGGTCCCGGCCACCGGACCCTGGGAAAGTTCGGGGACCAGGGCTCCAGGGCCCGGCTGCTCTGAGATGTGCTCGCGGAGCCGGAGGCGCCCCAGCCTGCGTGCGGAGGACCCATCTGCGGCCAGGGGCTAGAAAGGCTCCAAAGTAGAAAAACCTGTTGTTTTCCCCGCAGCAGCCCAACCGGAAACGCGGGGCTGTGCCCAGACCCTCCCCGCTGGCTGCCTCCTAGCCCCGGCCGCCTCCTGGCTGGAGGTGGGGGGAGGCCCTGCGGGCCCCCAGAGGCCTGGGCCGGGTGAGGGAGAGCCGCACCCCCTCTCCACAGCGGTGGGTGCCCGGACGGAGCCCCCGGGCCTTCTCCCTGCTCTCTCCGGCGGGGCTTTGGTGGGGGCTGAGGAAAAGACAGCAGCTGCCCTCTCCGGCCCTCCCGAGGACAAGCTGGGCTGGGGAGACAAGGCGGTCGCCCCCAGGAGTTTCAGGGCGTGCTCTCGGCGAGTAGCACCCGGCACACGGGTTCAAATCCGCCTCCACTGCCGGCATCTGGGGGCCGGATGCCCCAGTGCGAACAGGGAGAAGAGGGTGACGGGGGAAGAGCGGTCTCCTTGGGGCGCTCCCCGTTTCTCGCCCGAGGGGCTCTCGGAAGCCAGCTGGTCACAGTGACGAGGCCAGAAGGGAGCTTCGCGCCACCCTCTGCTCTCCCCGGCCTGTCGTCCAGGAAGGGAGGGCGTCAGAAAAAGGGGGCGATTCTGGGGCCTCCAAGGAGGCCACGCGCTCGCCCGGGCCCGCGGAGAGTGTGGGCAGCGGCTGGGGAGGCCGGCACACGGGCGCGGGCCCCGGCTGAGCGTGGCTGAGCGTGGTCCGCGTGTGGAAACAGCTGACGCTCGTGCTCCCGGAGCAGGCGGCCGAGACAGCGGGCGCAGCCCCCCTCTGCGCGGCCGCGGCAGCCACAGCTGGGCAGTGACGGGGGACTTGTCCTCAGCTACCCGGGCCAGTGTCCGGGTGTGGGGTCCGCTCCCCCGCTGGGCCCTCCCGACCGGGAAAAGGCCTCTCTGCCGGGGGTGGCCGTGGAACAAGTCCACGTCCAAGGAGGAGAACTTCCCCGGGAGACAGCAGAGGCGGGGTGAGCGCGTCAAGGCCGGGGCCGGCGTGGCCAGGATCTCCGTCTCCCTCCACGTTGATCTACGGGCTCGAAGGGGCCCCCATCTCAGTCCCAGCAGGCTTTTTAAAAATAGACATGGATCGGCCGTTTCCGGAAGCCCCACGGAGCCGCCAAGGGGCCCCACTAGCCAGCGACCGCGGGAAGGAACACACCGGAGAGGTCGCGCCCCCTGACTCGGCCTCGCCAGGAGCCCCCAGGCGCAGCCGGGCTCCGCGCCGGGCCGGGAGGGGACACACCGCTCCAGGGAGCCGGGCCGCGGGGCCCCCGAGCAGCACACGCAGAGGCAGCGAACGGGCTTCTCAAAGGAGCCCCGGCAGCCCGACGGGAGAGCGGCGGCTCTCTCAGCGGCAGCGGCGGGCCAGCGGGGCGAAGCGGACTCGAGAGCCCGGACCCTGCGGACGCGTGCGCGGCTCCCGGCAGGGCCACGACACCTGGTAAGACGGGCCGACGTCCGGGGTGCAGGAAGTCGGGCGCGAGTCTCTGAGAGCCCGAAGCAGGTGAGACCCACTCATGCGCGTGGCCGGGGCCCAAACCCCGGCTGGCCGCCACACAGCAGGCGGGGGGGGGGGGCTCCCCAGGGCCAGAGGAGACCCGCGACTGGAAGCCGCAGGAGGAGATGTGCTCCCGGGGGCGCGCGGCCTCCCTGCTGGGGCTCGTGGTGTCAGAGCCGGCGCTGCCCGGGACGCCCCCAGAGCGCCGATCCAGGGTAAACAGCCTCGCCTGCAGAAACGGCCTAAAAATAGGCCGGGCTGACTCACGCGCTGCCGCGGAGGGCGGGGGGACACTCGGGGACAAGAGCTGCTGCCGCGGGGCAGGCTTGCTTGGGCCCGAGGAGGTGAGGACGGCGAGCGGCAAGCAGTGACTCATCTGGGAACTCGAGGGCCGGCGCCCGCCCGCCTTTGATGTCTCCCGGCAGCGGCCGCGGACCCCAGCCTCGGCACAGCTGCAGACTCCCGGCGGGGAGGACGTGGTCGGCGGGCCGGCCAGGAGCTGACACATGGCCTCCCGCTCCCCGCTCCCCGGCACCGGCTCCAGCCAGAAGCGGGCCGTGAGAAGCAGCGCCCCCCACCGCCCACCGAGGCCCGCGCTGCGGCCCCTGAATTCTCGCCTCGCCAGGCCCTCCTGCCGCCCCCCGGCCATGGCTCCGCGGAGCCCGAGGGCCAGTCGGGGGGCAGCCCCGCACAGCACGCTCCTCTCCCTCGGCCCTCATGGCTGCAGGACGTCCACGAAGCCACCCGAACCGCGGCGCCCAGTGCTGCGCTGGAGGGTGAGGCGGCCCCCAGGAAAGGCCTGCGCCGGCCTGGCCGCCGCCGCCACGCTGGGGAGGACGTCTTCTCGCCCCCGGCGATACGCCCGGCCTCCCGGGGCCGGCCAGCTTCTCCGCCTTCTCAGGTCGCGAACGTTCTCCACCGCATGGCGGGGACGCAGTCAGGCGACAGTCTCCTGCTCGCCCGCTCCTCCGACCAGCCGTCCGTCCGTCCACCCATCCCTCCGTCCAGCCGTCACCTGAAGCCGCCCGGGAAGCAGCCTCTCTCGCCCCCGCTTGGAGAAGCGCCGTCTCTCGCCCGCCCGGCGTCCACCAGACGACCACGGCGGGCGGGGCCGGGCCCAGCACCACGGACGGCGCCCGCCCTGCCCGGGGAGCAGCGGGACGCTTCCGGAAGGGGGTGTGCGGTCTCGCGCGCACTTGCAGACGGGGCCTGCTCGGCAGGTCAGGCACGAGGCCAGGCCCCCAGGGAGCACCTGCGGCCTGGCAGAGACCCGCCGGCACCGGCGTCCGGCCCGAGGACCACGGAGGCCGTTGCCTGAGACACCGGGGCCGCGCGGAGCGGCCGCGGGCATGGGACAGGGCCGTTGGCCAGGCCCGAGGGCCACCCTGCCCTCGCCCCCGTTACCAGCGGGGACGCGGCGTCCGGGGCCGGGCCCGGGGTGCAGACGGCGGCGGGGCGGGCGGCGAGCCGGGGGCGTGTGGGGTCAACACGCCCAGCCGGCAGCGTCCTGGGGCGGGAGGGGGCCGGGCAGCTGAGTCAAAACAGCCTTTGTTCCCTTTGTTGCGCTCGTTCCAGGAAGATTTCACTTGACTCAGGGTTTCCCGGCGTGAACAGTCGCCCTCGGTCTGGACTCCGGGGCTCCCCCTGTGCAGGGGGGGCGTGCAGACGCCCCGGGCTGGAAAGAGAGGGGCCGGGCCTCGTGCAGGGCCCTGCTCACGGGCCGGGGCCTCAATGGGAACTGGGGCGAGGTCGGGGCCCCACGATGCCAAGGGCCCTGCGCTGGGAATGGTGGCGGCGGTCGGGCCGAACGTCTTACCCATCTGCCGTGGGCTGAAGGGAGCGCCCCAGAGAGCAAAGGTTGGGGTCCTCACCCCCAGGACCTCAGCATGTGGCCGTGTTTGGAGTCAAGGTCATCAGGGAGCTGACTCAGCGATGGGTCCATCGTGCCGTGTCCTCCTGGGGGACAGGCGCCCCCCCAGGGGCCAGCTGGGCTCTGCGGGGCTCACTCCTGCCTCTCCCGGCCTCGGCCCCACGCGGGCCCCTGCAGACCATGTTGGCGCGGGTCTTGGGCCCGCAGCCGCCCCGGGACACACTCCCGACAGGCGGACCTGCAGAGGGACCGAGGGCTCCGCCGCTGTCCCCGCCTCTGGCCCCAGCAGCCACCTGCCGCTCTGCCCGCGGAAAACGCCGACGCCGGGCCCC